TAGTTTTGGGCCTCCAGAGCGCCAGCCCCGACGACCGTGGATCTCTTCACAGGTGTGGCAGCTCATTCAGTATATTGCTCCTTTGCGCCGTGCACGTTTCAAGTTCACTTGCCAACGCAAGCTCGTGCACCTATCATTTGTTTTCGCTGCTTGGCGCGAGCAGGGCCCCTCCCTCTCCTCTACCTCCCCCTCTGGCACACGCTCCTTTGACATAGCCCCTGCTCTCCGTGCGGAGGTCGGCCGGCTGTTCAAAGCAGAGGCTCGTTGCACTGCTCAGATCTTTGCAATTCAGGCGGCCACGCGCCCGATCAATGCTGAGGATCGTCAGAAGTTTCTTGATTCTCTGGCGGCTAGCGCCTCGAGCGCCATTAATAAACACGATCCCCGGCAAGCTTTCGCAGTGCTGCGCGCCCTCGGCTCCCGGTCTCAGAAGCCCGGTCAGTGCTTGATCAAGCCTGACGGCGAGCTCACTTCGACCACCGATGAGGTCAAAGAGGTCTGGCAGCATCATGCCCAGACCATATTTCGTGGCGACGTTGTTGCCAAAGAGCAACTGCGCGAGCCACCTGCGCCGCAATTAGCTCACACCTCCACTTTGGACGTTGGGCCTGAAGCGACGCGGCGCGCTTACTCCTCCCTCGGTCGTAACAAGGGGGTGGGGTTTGACAGCGTACCTGCTGAGCTTTTGCAGGCTGGTGCTTCTGCCCTGGCATGTAAATTTTCTGCCATCAACCAGCGGGTTCAGAACACTCGTCAATGGCCCGCTGCCTGGAGAGGCGGCCGATCCCAGGAGATTGTTAAGCGGAAGGGGAGCCCCCAAATCACTGACGATTACCGCAACATTTTGTTAGCGGACCACGCCAGTAAAGGATTGACGAGTATGCTCCAACGGTCTGTTGACCCAGCCTATGTTGCCCATCAGCCCGAGGCCCTGTATGGGGCCATACCGAAGAGAGGCACTGACATGGCCTCCCATCTTCTTCATAGCCTCACTGATTATGCAGAGCTGGCCTGTCTTTCTATATGTGTACTGTACGTAGACCTCACGAAGGCTTTTGATATAGTAATCCGTCAGCTCATGTATGGCTGGGGATCCCGTCCTTCTGCTGAGCACCGCCAGTACTTGCTGTCGCTAGGAGTGTCTGCATCCTCCGCAGATTGGATGATAACATACCTTGATCAGCACGGCCGCCTATTGCAGCAATGGGGTGTCTATGAAGTAGTGGCGGACATGATCCGCACCTTGCATGACGGCTCTTGGGTAGCCGTGTCTGATCCCCCCACTTGCGTCACAAGCCGCACAGGCGGCCGCCAGGGCTGCAAGCTTGGAGCGCATATTTTTAATGGGGTGTATGGGGTCGCTTTAACGCTGATTGCGGACAAGCTCCGCGCAGGGGGCGTCTCTCTTCGGTTACCCTGCCCCCAGGGCCCTTTCTGGGCATCCCCTGGGCCAGGCGATTCCCCGAGCACGTCTGTTTTAGATGCCGCCTGTATCGACGATGAGGCGCTAGCCATTGTAGCTTCAAGCCCGAAGCAGCTCGACCAGAAAATCGATCAGCTGTTGTCTGTTCTTTTTGAGGTCTTTGGCCAGTTGCATCTCCAGCTCAATGCCTCCCCCGGCAAAACGGAAGCACTCTTGATGTACAGGGGCCCCAAAGCCACTGCATGTCGCGAAGCCCGCCGGCAGGGTGATGGGACCCTCCGTATCTCTGTCCCGGGCCGCGACCTGTCTATTAGCGTCGTCAGTTCTTATAAGCACCTTGGCACTGGCTCCTCCTTGCATCGTGCTGACATGTCTGATGCGAGAGCTAAAGCGGCCAAGACACTCACCGCATACGGGCCACTCTCGTGTAAAGTGTTCGCTTCCCATCTCATCCAGACTTGTCACAAGCTGTATTTCATGCAATGTTTGCTGATCACTCGGCTGCGTTTTAACATTCATGTTCTGGTACCATCTCCTCGCCATTTGAAATGTTTGAACGCAGCCTACATGACAGTCCTCAGACGGATCTTCGGGGAACCCCGCTTTCGTGCCACCCCCCACTCGGACCGCGAGGTGCGGGAGGCGTTACATCAGCCTTCGATTGAGTGCATCATTGCTAGGCTTCGTCTCAAATACTGTGCCCGCCTCGTCCGTGCGAGGCCGCAGGCGCTGCTTGCCATCTTGCACGCCCGCTCCAAGGACAAACAACTTCGGTGGATCCACGCCCTTGAGACGGATGCCGGCTTTCTCCGGCCCCACCTTCTTCCTACTTTGCCTGGCATTGCTGACGATCCTCAGGCATGGGCCAACCTGATACTCGATGAAGATGCCTGGAAGGCACTCGTCGATCGCATTTTCTTTACAGACTCCGTGTGCGATACGTCCCCTGCCCTGCGTCCCACGCCAGGAGTAGAGGCGTATGTTTGCGAGTGCGGCGAAGCCTTCAGCTCGTCTCGCGCACTCCAATCCCACCAGCGCGCAAAGCACGGGAAGCGGAATGAATTGCGCTTCTATGTGTCTGGATCCAGGTGCCCATGCTGTGGCACGGATTTAGTCTCGCGCCTTCGCCTCGTGTCTCACGTATCCGACACACGTCGGCCTAAGTGTCGAACGTTTGTGCTCGCTCACTGCGCTCGCCTCAGTGATCGTACTGTTCAGCAACTTGACTTGGTTGATTGCGAATTGCGTCGCGACGCCCAGCGGGCAGGCCGCAGCCATCATATTGCCACGGCTCCTGCTCGACGGGCCGACGGACGAGTTATAGGCCGCGTCTCGTCGTGATTTTCTTCTTGTGGTTAGCGCCGCATGTGTGCACACCTGTACAGTAAATTTGGTGGTATCTTGAGACTGTCATCCCTGGCTGAATAAAAATATTTGGCCCCCCAGAGGCGTCGGTTCCCCAGGCGGTGGATATATGGACATGTGCCCGCCTCGCCGTAATTGGGTCCGAGTAGATGGGGTCGGAGGATCTCGCCGCACCTCCAATGCATCGCCGAAGCATTGGCGATGCTTCGGCGACGTCGGCGTTGCATCGGCGACGTCGGCGTTGCATCGGCGACGTCGGCGTGGAGAGAATCGGGCTCCACATCGAGCCACATCGCTGGTGCATCGGTGATGCCACGCGATCCTCCTGCCCCATCTGCTCTGACACCATCTGTCAGCTGCGAGCGAGGGGGGAAAAAGAGAAGGATGAAGCCTTCTCAGAAGGCGGCGGGACTTCTCAGAAGCCCTCGCGTCTTCTGAGAAGTTTTCTGTGTCTTCGGGGAAGGCTCAGGAAACTTCTCAGAAGGCCGGGGACTGCCGAGCCTTCTGAGAAGGATTTGGGAAGCCTAGAGATGCATCGGTCGGGCCTCAGCCAGGCCGCTGCGCCCCACGGATTCCCCCGAGGACTGGGCCAGCCTTTCTCGCGCCTTCGGGACAGCCCAGGGGGCGGACCTGGTGGGCCAGGACCGGGGATCAGGGTCGGCCCGTGGCTCGAGCTATGTCGAGGACGCGCCGGCGTCGTCGCCCGTTTCGTCGTCGTAGTCGGCTCGGCTAGGCCAGAGAGTGACCCTTCGCCGGAGTGACCTTCGGTGCGGGCCCACGGAGGTCCCTCCAGCAGTGACCGGCGCGCGTGGATTTTGCACACCCGCGGCCCCCCGAAAGCCGCGGCGCACCAGGGGTCACTTTCGCCCAGGGCTTCTCTTGCGTGTAGCCGAGTCGCTGGCGGCGGCGAGACCTTCCACGACCAGGCGACGGCGACAGCGACGGAGACCACCCTCGCCCGACCCCGCCGGCGCCCTGCAGACCGTGTCCTCGACGCCTGCGACGTCCCTTCACCCCCCCTCCCCCCTTTCCCCTCCTTCTTGGACCTGACCTCCAAGGCTTCAGGGCGGGATCAGTGTTGGGCTTGGGTTCTCTGCTCCTCTTCCCCTCCCCCCCACCCCACCCCTCCCTCGTGTCCCCCTCCTCATCCCACCGAGTACCTTCCTCCCAGATACTCTTCCTCCCACCAGCCCATCCTCCGCATTCGTCCTGGGCCTTCTCGTACGCCTTCTTCGCCCTCGCCTCCTCCTCCTCCTCCTCCTCCTCCTCCTCCCCTTCCTCCTCCTCATCCTCGCACACCTTCCATCTCATACTGTATACATCCCTGGTATTCCTCCTCATCCTCCTCCTACTCCTCCTTATCGCCACCACCATAATCATCATCAACATCATCATCAGCATCATCACCACCACCATCATCATCAGCATCATCATCAGCAGCATCATCAGCATCATCAACATGGATCGACATCAACATAATCAGCATTAGCACCGTCATCATCATCGTCATCAGCATCATTACCATTAGTATTAGCATCATCGTCATCATCCTCTTACCATCATCATCATCCTCCTCCTCCTCATCATCATCATCCATCATCATCAGCAGCAGCATCAGCATCAGCATCAGCATCATCAGCACCACCATCATCGTCATCAGCATAATCATCAGCATCAGCATCATTTTCATCATAATAATCAGCTTCATCATGATCATCATCAGCAGCATCATCGCCATCATCATCATCATCATCACCATCATCATCATCATCATCATCATCATCAGCATCATCATCATCATCATCATCATCATCATCATTATCGTCGTCATCGTCCTCATCTTCGTCACAGTCATCATCATCCTCCTCGTCTTCCTCATCATCCTCAGCATCCTCATTATCACTAACATCATCATCATCATCATCATCATCATCATCATCATCATCATCATCATCATCATAAGCATCAGCATGATACTCATCATCATCAGCAGTACCACAATTATCGTCATCACCAGCACCATCACAATGATCATCATCAGCAGCATCGTCATCGTCATCATCATCGTCACCATCATCATTATCATCATTATCATCATCGTCGTCGTCATCATCATCGCCACCACCATCATTATCAGCATCCTCATCCTCATCCTCGTGCTCGTCCTTGTCCTCTTACTCATCTGCTCCTCCTGCCACCTCCTCCATCCAAGGCTCCTGTGCTCCGACCTCACGTACACCCTGCAGGCGGTGTCCCACACCGCTGAGGTGACGGACGTGGCCTTCGGACCGACCAGCGACACCGTGGTGACGTGTTCCGAGGCGGGGGAGGCCTTCGCCGAAGAGGAGGAGGATGAGGAGGAGGAGGAGGAGGAGGACGAGCAGGAGGAGGGGGAGAAGGAAAAGGAGGAGGAGGTGAAAGAGGAGGACGAGGAGGAGGAGGAGGAGGAGGAGGAGGAGGAGGAGCAGGACTAGTGCAAACCCAAGACTCAACAACAATGTTGAAATACACTCTCCCTCCAATTTTCCTCTTCATAGGCCCCTACAGGGGGTTATTTCCATTGAGGGAATTGCCCCGCTGGGGGACAACCGTGTGAACATCTTGAAGCGTGCCCAAACACAATTCTCTGGACTTCAACGCCACGATTCAATATGCCTGTTACGCTTTGGCGATCCTGAACCGTGCCAGAACACCATTCCTGGGAATCGTGCGAGAACACCATCAACAGAACTGGTGCGCCCTGACAATCCTGAACCGCTCCAATTTGCCCTTCCTTAACCATGCGAACCAGCGAAACCCTCGCAAATGTTGAAACGAATGTGCGTGGCGCCAAGGCGAGAACGAGAGTTTGATACGGAACCGCCCTCAATCCGTGAAGCTCCCGCAACTGTTTGAAACAAGTGTGCGCGGCGCTGGGGCGAGAGCCACGTTTTGAAAACGAACTGCCCTCAAGGCGTGGAGCTATTGCAAATGTTGAAAGCGAATGCGCGCGGCGCTGGGGCGAGAGCCACATGTTGAAAACCGCCCACCCTCAGTCCGTGAAGCCCATTGCAATAGTGAGTACGGGTGAACGCGGCGTTAAGGCGAGAGCCACATTTTGAAAACGAGCCGCCCTCAATTCGTTAAGCCCTTGCAGATTCTGAGAACGAACGTGGGCGGCGCTAAGACGAGAACCACATTTTGAAAACCACCCGCCCTCCATCTGTGAACGTTTCAGCATCAGGGTCAGAAGTGGTAAGGAATTCTCAGGCGACACGCCCGACCCGCCCTTTCGACAGGCCTTGGGGTGCGACAGGGAGGAGCTATCTATAAGGAAAGGAATGCATGATGAGGAGGAGAAGGAGGAGGAGGAGACAGGAGAAGCAGGAGGAGGGGGAGGAGGAGGGGGGCGGGGGGAGGGTAAGAAGACGGAGGAGGAGGCGGAGGAAGTGGGAGGGAAGGGGAGGAGGAGGAGGAGGAGGAGGAGGAGGAGAAGGAGGAGGAGGGAGGAGGAGGAGGAGACGGAGGAGGAGGAGACGGAGGAGGAGACGGAGAAGGAGGAGGAGAGGGACGATGTGGAGGAGGCGAACGAGGATCAAAATAAACCAAAAATGCATCAACGAGGCTGCAGATCACCCTCCCGTCGGAAGTCCCCTCCCCACAAGGCCTTACAAGCCTTTCCTTCCACTTCGGGAAGCGCCCCCTTGAAAGACCAGCACCCTACGAACCTGCCCTTCAAGATAGAACCCCGCTTTGGAAACGAACTGATTGCCTTACCGAGCGATGAGGGCTGCGCAGAGGTATGATCCAGCGAGATCCCCGTGTTGAACAAGGATTGCACCCACCTGGGCAAATCGTGCACAAGTTTAAACGTCTGGCCATAAGCGCCGAGTAAGTCTCAAGCGAGAGCCCCATGTTGGAAAAGAGTCTGGCTCCACCCGTTGATCTGCACCACGTGTTCAAATTTTTAGTATGTAGAGCCAGAGAAGTCCCAAGCGGACGCCCACATTTGAAAAGGAACAGCCATTCACCCATGCAGCTGTTGCTCATGTTGAAGTTTCTGGTCTCTAAGGTCAAGGAAGTCTCAAGCGAACGCCCCATGATGAAAAGGAACCGCCACTATCCCTGTAAGTGTTGCAACAGTGTAACACGACTGTGCGCGGCGCTGATGCGAGGGCCCCATCTCGAAACGAAAGCACCCACCACCCTTGAAGTGAGTGCAATCACGAATGTGCGCAGCGCTAAGGCAGGAACCCCATGTTGAAAAAGACCCCCCCCCTCTACCTCGAAATCGCTGCAAGTTTTTATAACGAATGTGCGCGGCGCTGCGACAAAAGCCCCGTTTTGAGGGAGTGCCCTCCATCCTTGGAGCTTCTGCAATAGTTTAAGACGGATGCGCCCCGAGCTAAGCCGCGGGCTCGATTCTCAGAGCGACCCGCCCGTCGTCCTAAACGATCCCTTCAGTCTGTGAAGACGAAATATGCGCGTTGCCAAGGCGATAGCTCCATTTTGAAAACGAGCCGCCCTCTATCCTTGAAGCGATTGCAACTGTTGGGCCCCAGGACCACAAATGGTAGGGAAGTCTGAGGCGAAACGCCCGGCCCGTCCCACCGACACGCCTGGAGGTGCGGTACGGAGGAATTCTTGATAAGAAAGGTATGGAGGGGGTGGAGGGGGACGGGGAAGAGGATTAGGAATGCAATATGGAGAACGGAGCTGAGGAGAACGAGGGCGGAGAACAAGAAGGGATTGCAAGAGTAGTAGTAGTAGTAGTAGTAGTAGTAGTAGTAGTAGTAGTAGTAGTAGTAGTAGTAGTAGTAGTAGTAGTAGTAGTAGTAGTAGTAGTAGCAGTAGCAGTAGCAGTATTAGTAGTAGTAGTAGTAGTAGTAGTAGCAGTAGCAGTAGCAGTAGCAGTAGCAGTAGCAGTAGTAGTAGTAGTAGTAGTAGTAGTAGTAGTAGTAGTAGTAGTAGTAGTCGTAGGAGGAGGAGGAGGAGAGGGAGGAGGAGGAGGAGGAGGAAGGGGATGATGAGGCGGAAGTAGGAGCAACAGGATACTAGGAGGAAGTAGGAGCAACAGGGGATGAGGAGGAAGTAGGAGCAGAGGATGAGGAGGACGATGGGGAGGAACAGCAGAAGCATAATGAAGACCAGAACCGATCGGAGGAAGATGAGATAAGATGAGTAACAGGAGGAGGGGATAAGGAGGACAGGTGATGATGATGATGATGACGATGATGGCAATGATGACAATGATGACAATGATGATGATGATGATGATGATGATGATGCTGCTGCTGATGATGATGATGATGATCATGATGATGATGATGATGACGGTGATGATGCTGATGATGACGATGATGGTGATGATTGTGATGCTGCTGCCGATGATGTTGTCGATGATGATGATGCTGATGATGAGGATGAGGATGCTGTTGTTGATGATGGTGATGCTGATGGTGATAACGCTGCTGCTTGTGCTGATGATGATGATGATGATGATGATGTCGATGTTGCTTGTTAGTATTATGATGGTGGTAATGCTGGTGCTGCTGATGCTTATACTAATGATGAGGAAGGGGAGGAGTGGATGGAGCAAGAGGACGTGAAGGACGATGATGAGGAGGGAGCTATGAAGACGAGCAGTAGCATCTGGAACAGGAGCTGAGGAGGAGGAGAAGACTGCGTCGGCGATGACTAGGAGGCGTGTGCAGGACGAGGAGGAACATACGGCTTAGGAGAAAGAGCAGGAGGGGAAGTGGGAAGAGGAGAAAGCGAAGGAGCAACAGGACGAAGGTGGAGGACAACGAGAACGAGGATGGAGAGGTGTGAGCTCCCTCCCATCCTCCTCCCCCACAGGAGGTTCCTCCATTGTTAGGCGTTCATCCTCGTTTCTCTTCCTCCCTTCTGAGGTCTTTTTCGTCCCGCTGCGCCAACTTCTCTTTCCCCTCCTCGTCATCACTATTCCTCCTCACTCCTTATTGCGAAGGCCTTACGGCCAGTGCCGCCGACCCTGACGAAGATGAAAACGAGGGGGGGGCATGGGGAGGAGGATGAGTGGGAGGTGGAGGAAGGGTGGAGGAGGTGAATGAGGGAGGAGGAGGGGGGAGAAGGATGTGGAGGAGAAGCAAGAGGAGAAAAAGGATGCAGAAGAGAGCAGGAGGAGGGGGAGCAGAGGGGGGGGGGCGGGGAGGAGGAGGAGGAGGAGGAGGAGGAGGAGGAGGAGGAGGAGGAGGAGGAGGAGGACGAGGACGAGGACGAGGAGGAGGCCAGAGGCTTTCTTGAGACAGCCTGAGACTCTCTTAAGGCCGTCTTGGGCCGTCCAGGCCTCCTCTTGCGCCGTCTCGAGGCACTCTTGGAGGCCCCCTGGGCAATCTGGGGCTCTCCTGGGCTGTCTTGGGGCAGTTTGGGGGCCCCTTGGGAGCCTCTTGGGGCCTCTTGGGGCTTCTTCGGGGCCACTTGGGGGCCTCTTGGGGCTGAGAGCTCGAAATGTCCGTTCGGGTCCCCCGTCTGGGCACTCTCCTGGAGCCGTCTTGGGGGCCTCTTGGGCCGTCTTGGAGGCGTCTTGGGCCGTCTTGGGGCCCTCTTCGGCCCTTAGGGGATCCTCTTGGGGGCCTCTTGGGCCGTCTCGGGGCGATCTTGGGGGCCTCTTGGGCCGTCTTGGCGCGTCGGGAAGCGGAAGAGGCAAGAACGCCAAAATCTTCCAAAAACGTATGGGAAATCCATGAATTTTGCCTCTTGGGGCTCTCGTGGGAAAGTTCCTAGAGGCCTTTTGGGGCGTTTCGCAGGCCTCTTGGGCCGTCTGGAGGCCGTCAAGGCGTCTTGGACAGATCGTTCAGCGATTCGGGGTTCTCTCGGACTGTCTTTGGGGCCTCCTGGGGCTTTCTTGGCCCGTCTTGGGGCTTTTTTGGGCTCCGGGACTCCCAGGGGTATCTGAGCCCCCCTCCCCCCCCGGACCCCCCCCCGCGGGGGCAAGATCGAGGGGAGGGGGCTTCCCTTCGACTCAATTACGACGCTGCTCAACTTTGCTTTGGCTGGCGCACTGAAGAGGTCCCTGGGAAAGGGGGGAGCTTCGACGAACCCAGGGAAAGGGGGGAGGCAGGGAAAGGGGACGACAGAGACGACGACCAACGAATGGCGGAGATGACGACTTGAACGGATAAGCCCCTCACACACGCCGACATGGTCGGCGGATGTTTCCTCCTCGGCATCCTTTGCATTATCCTCATCACAGCGCACTTGGGCAAGTCCTTGAGACATCGGTTGGAGCTTATGGTCATTGTCTGTCTGTCTGTCTGTCGTCATCACAATCTTCCTAACTCTCCCTTCCTCTGTCTCTCTCATCATCATGATTGACATACTCAACATCAGCAGCATCATCGTCACCATAGCTATACATACATTATCTCTCTCGTTCTCCCTTCTCTCTCTCACTCTCTCTCTCTCCATCTCTCTCTCTCTCTCTCTTTCTTCCTCGTACCTTCCTTCTCATCTTCATCACTCTCCTTCTCTCCGAGGTCGTCCTTATGGACCTGTCTGACTACATGCCCGTCACCGCCGCCGCGTCCAAGTCGCCAGCGCGCTGCGTTGTCGTCGCCCCCGGTGGCGAGATCCTGGCGGGCTACGCCGACGGCTACCTTAGAGCGTGGTCTTGTTGCCCCAAGGGGTTGTTTTCAAAGAGCTCGGGAGGTTTCGGGAGCTTGCCTGAGCTTTTCGAAAGGTCGGGGAGCGCGTGTTCAAACGTCTTCGGATGTTTTTTGAGGTTTCCGAGGCTCTTCTTCATTCTCCGGGTGGTTCCCTGACATGTTGGAAGGTTTCTTTGGATGGGATGGGAAAGGGAGGAGCGTGGAGGGAGGTCGAGGAGGGAGAATGGGGAAGGGGAGAGAAATGCGAGGGAAGAGAAGGAGGAAATGGGAGAGGAGGCAGGTGGAGGAGGAGGAGGTGGAGGAGGAGTAGGACGATGTTGATGACGAGGACGAGGACGATGACGATGACGAGGAGGAGGACGACGATGACAATGATGAAGATGATGATGGTGGTGGTGATGATGATGGTGATGGTGAGAATGATGCTGATGACGATAATGGTGATGCTGATGATGACGATGATGGTAATGGTGATGATGATGATGATGATGATGATGATGATACTGATGATGACGATGATGATGATGATAAGTACGATGAGTACGATGAGTACGATGCTTACGATGCTTACGATGGTGACGATGATGACGATGATGATGATGATGATGCTGATGCTGCTACTGATGATGATGATGATGACGATGATGATGATGATGATGCGGATGACGTTGATGCTGGTGACGAAGTTGATGCTGTTGTTGATGATGATGTGGATCGTGCCGTTGGTGATGATATTGATGATGACGACGACGACGACGACGGTGAGGATGATGATCTCGATTACGAATACAAGAATTATCGTGGTTGCGATGGTGACGATGATGATGATGATGATGATGATGATGGTGATGCTGATTATGATGATGATGATGATGATGATGATGATGATGATGATGATGATGATGATGATGATGATGATAATGATGATGATGATGATGATGATGATAATGATGATGATGATGTCGGCGATGATGATATTGCTGCTGTTGATAGTGCTGCTGGTGTGGATGATGATGACGATGATGGCAATGTCGACGGTGATGATGGTGACGATGATGATGAAGATGATGATGATGATTATGATGATGATAATGCTAATGATACTGGTGACGACGACGATGATGATGATGATGATGATGATGAGGAGGATGGCGATGATGAGGATGCTGATGCTGATGGTGATTATGATGATGATGGTGATGATGATGACGACGACGGTGATGATGATGATGCTGCTGATGGTGAAGATGCTGCTGGTTACTATTATGATGATGATGGTGATGGTGATGGTCGGATAATGACAAGATTATTGATGATGCTGCTGATGATCATGATGATGGTGGTGGTGGCGGCACTTGATGATAATGATGACGACGATGATGATGATGATGAAGATGATGATGATGATAGTGATGATGATGATGATGATGATGATGATGATGATGGTAACAATGATGATGCTGGTGCTGCTGATGATGATGATGATGATGATGATGATGATGGTGGTGGTGATGATGATGGTGGTGGTGGTAATGATGATGTTGGTGATGATAGTGTTGATGACTGTGATGTTGATGCTGCTGATGATGATGGTGGTGATGATGATGATGATGATGATGCTGATGGTGATGATGATGAGAATGATGATGAATGACGAGGATGAGGAGGAGCAGGAGCTGGAGAAGGAGGAGAAGGCTGACGAGGGGGAGAAGGAGGAGGAAGGCGAAGAGGAGGAGGAGGAGGAGGAGGAGGAGGATGGAGGAGGAGGAAGGGCGAGGGGGAAGGATAGAGAGGGGGAAGGGGGAAGCCTCGGTGCCATGACAAGCACCAAGCTTCCCTCAGGCCAGCCGAGAGAGAGAGAAAGAGAGTGAGAGAGAGAGAGATAAAGAGAGAGAGAGAGAGGGATAGAGACAGAGAGACAGAAAGAGAGAGAGAGAGAGAGAGCCAGGGGGGGGGTCGAGGAAGGGGGTGAGGACTACGTAGGGGGGTCTGTATGTCATGGCCAGGACGACCCCTCGGTGTCGGACGAAAGTCGGGGGGCGTGTCCTGACCGCCCCGAGCGGCAGCTGCGGGCCAGAGCTGGGACCCGAGGGCCACTTGGCGTTCGAGGGGGTGGGAACTGGGAAGGGGGAGCGAGAGCCACTTGGCGTTCGAGGGGGTGAGAACTGGGAAGGGGGGGCACGGAGACCAGGTCTGGGGCGAAATGCCCCAAATCTCGTGGCTGGCCCCGACGCGCGGACCCCCCTCCTCGGCGCACCCGAAGGAGAGAGACAGAGAGAGAGAGAGAGAGCGAGAGAGAGAGAGAGAGAGCGAGAGAGAGAGCGAGAGAGAGGGGGGCTACCGACTCCTTCGACCATGATTTGCTCATCATTTTGCAGTGGGGGCCCCCCCGAGGTTGAGACACGTTCCCCGAGAGGCCGCCTCGCATCCAGAGCTATGTGTGACGGTCCTGGGGCATCGACAGGGCCCCCAGAGGCCGAAACTTGTCACAAGCTGACCGCCTCACCCCCGGAAGCCAGCGAGCTCACCCCTGGGTTAGGCAATCCCAGGCGGGCCGAGCATCCGTGTCACGGTGCGCCTCAGTGCATCAGCGGAGCGAGAGAACACATCAGCATCATCGAAGGGCCCCTTGAGGCCGAAACTTGTCACAAACTGTCCGTCCCCATTTCCCCCCAACCCAAGTCAGACCAAACTCGGTCACCGGTCACCTCTCCTATGGCGTCCATCCTGACACGCTTTTTCGAGGCGGATCCGCCCCTGGCGACGAGAAGCCTCTGGGCGGGGGGGGCACAAGGAAGCCAGAAAAGCCAGGGAGGCCCGCCGCCGCCCAGACTGGCCCTCCTCCGATCGTCGGCACCCCGGGAAGGAGAGAGATAGAGAGAGGGGGTCTCGCCCTGCGCCCACGCCTGAGGAGGAGGAGGAGGAGGAGGAGGAGGAGGAGGAGGAGGGTATCTGGGGGTCTGGACCTTTTCCCTGGGAGGAGCACGGGCGATTGAGGCAGCCGGACGCTGCGGGCGCGTCGCCCCCATGGCTCGGCAGGGGAGAAGAGAGGGTGGTGGTGAGGAGGATGGTGGTGACGTTGATGCTGATGAGGTTGATGTTGATGATGATGATGATGATGATGATGCTGCTGATGATGATAGTGGTGATGGTGATGGTGATGGTGTTCGTCGTGATGATGATGATGATGATGATGATGATGATGATGATGATGATGATGATGATGATGGTGATGGTGATGGTGATGGTGATGGTGATGGTGATGGTGATGGTGATGGTGATGGTGATGGTGATGGTGTTAGTGATGATGCTGAGGAGGCTGAGGAGGCTGAGGAGGCTGATACTGATTCTTATGCTGATGATGATGATGATGATGATGATGACCATGATCGTGGTGATGATGGTGACGATGATGATGCTGCTGATGATGATGATGACCATAGTGATTATGATGTTGATGAGGATGATGCTGATGATGATCATGATCATCATCACAATGGTGACGATGATGATGCCGATGGTGATGTTGATGATGCTGATGCTGATGCTGATGCTGCTGCTGCTGCTAGTGGTGGTGGTGGTGATGATGGTGATGGTGGTTGTGACGATGATAAGGAGGAGGAGGAGGAGGAGGAGGAGGAGGAGGAGGAGGACGTTGATGATTCTAGTTTTCCTCCCCCCCCATCTCGAGCACCAGATTTTCATCATGACTCGTTCTTTGACGGTCCCGGGGCCCTGCAAGGGCCTTTGAAGGCCGAAAACGGCGAAAGACGTCCACACTCCGTGTTTCCGTTCTGGCCCACCACGCCTCGGAACGACATGCTAACTACGTCCGGATCCGCGAGCGTCAACGTCCCGACCTTCTTTCAGCCCCCCGCCCCGAGGAGCGGAGCGACACGCTATCCGCTTGCAGGGCATAGCGCGTCGCTGGGGCCGCCGCCGCGACATGCCGAGCAAGACTTCTCAACCGCAGGGGGGGTTGGGCGCGGGCTCGCCCTGCGCGCGCACTTATCCGCCGTCATCGTCGTCGTCGCCGACGTCGTTGTCCTCGACGTCGTCGTCGTCGTTTTTATCGTCGTCGTCGTTCGTTGTCGTCGTCGTCGTCGCTCGCCGTTCGCCGCTCGCCGTCCTCGTTCGTCGCCGCCGTTCTTGCCGTCGTCGTCGCCGTCGCTGTACTGGGCTCGCCCTGCGCACGCGAGCGCGCCAGGTCTCCGGCTCGCAGCGCCGGGAGCGCGGAGATGCTGTGGCAGGCGAACTGCCACCGGGAGGGGGTCACCAGCGTGCGGGCGAGCCCGGACTTCATCGTCACGGGCGGGGGCATCCTCCTCTTCTTCCGCGCATCTTCCTTACGCATAATTCCTCCATGTCTCACCCCGAGGCGTGTCGGTAGGGCGGGCCGGTCGCTTGTGATGCTTAGGCTGAACATTTGCAACAGTTTCACGGACGGAGGGCGGGCAGTTTTCAAAATGTGGTTCTCGCCTCAGCGCCGCGCACACTCGTTTAAACATTGCAAGAGCTTCACGGATGGAGGCCAGGGGATCTCTTCAAATGTGATTTTCGCTGTAGCGCCTCGCACATTCGTCCTAAAAGTTTGCAAGATATTCGCGGATGGAGGGGGAACCTTTTAAATATGTGGCTCTCGCCTTAGCGCTGCGCGCATTCGTCTGCAGTTTCAAGGATGATGATTATCATGGCTCACGTCCCAGAGATGATGCTCTGGCGCGATGTAGGGCTGTCAGGGTGTAACAGCTACTCACACTCGCGGTGTTTAAGTCCAAGGAATGGCGTTCTGGCACGATTCTTGATCGTCAGGACAACAGTAACGTTGATTCGCGGCGCTGAAGTCCCAGGAATGGTGTTCTGGCAAGGTTCCCGATTTTGTTCAAACGTCTATCTCCCAGGGAAAAACTTCCTTCAGTGAACATGAATCTTTGTAGGGACCTATGAAAAGGAAACTTGGAGGGAGGCTTTATTGCAACATCGTGAATGGGTCTTGGGTTTGTACTCCTCGTCCTCCTCCTGCTCCTTCTCCTCCTCCCCCTCCTCTCTCTCTCTCTCCTTCATTATCTTCCTCCTCATCCCTCCTCCTCCTTCTCCTCCTCCTCGTCTTATTCCTCCTCCTCAACCCTCTTCCCTCGTCCTCCTCCTGCTCCTCCTCCTCATCCCTCTTCCCTCGTCCCTCTTCCCTCTGCCCTGTCCTCGTGTATCCTCCTCCTCCTCCTCCTCCCTCCCTCCTTCCTCCCTCCTCCCTCGGCCTACCTCCTCCTCCTCCTCCTCCTCCTTCTCCTCCTCCTCCTCCTCCGCCTCCTCCTCCTCCTCATCATCATCCCTCTCCTCTGGGTTCGCGCCTGCAGAGAGTACGCTAGGCAGTGGGAGGCTGCCAACAGGCAGAAGTTTTTTGCTGAGAGTTGCTTGTCTTCCAGCGTGGACACCGTGTGGCGTCAAAGTGTGTTGTGTGAGTGGTCCAACATGTGTTCCAGCTCGGTCGTGTGGGATTACCTGAAGCTCTATGAGTCGGTCGACCTGGACCTCCTCTCCCAGCGCTGCGGCCAGCACGGCTTACCCATGCAGATTGCGCGCGTGTGCGACGTGGCGTACCGATCGGCGCGGGACATGGCCATGTATCGCAGGGTCGAGGGGCCCAAGTTCGCGTGGCGTGGCAACGTGGCTGGATGCGGCTTCGCCGTCACGCTGGCCAGAGTCGTTTCCTTAACGGCCCCGGACGGGCTCAAGCTGCCAAGATTTGTCTCTGCGCATGTGCATTTCGATGCTTGTACCCTGTCGTGCGAATGCGGTCGCCAATGATCTGCTCGAAGCCTCGTTCAATCTCCAGGAAGTCATCGAGAGCCACCTTGGATGTGCTGTCGCGGTTTCGAAGGCTTCAGTGGTGGCTTCTCGCCCAGCCGTCGCTGAGGCTGTTCGTGCTGCATTTAGGCGCGCCGGGCGGCCGGCCGTGCGACTCAGCTTCGGCGCTGATGACGTTGCCGACAGAGCCCGTCGAGTAGCCAGGGAGGGGGAGTGAGGGGGCGAGCTCTACGTTTGGAAGTTTTAGTTGTCGAAGAAGTTTGAACGCGTGGCGCTCCATACAGAGTTCGTTGAGTAGGTTTGCCAAGCAAGTTTTCTCGACGGGTGCGCTGCCCAGCAGGACCTACGGGTGCGAGTAGCACGGCACTTCGAATCACGAGCTATTTTCTTTGCGGATGTCTCTGAGGCGATTCCTCCAACCCAGTGCTGTGGGCGATCGCTGACGGCTGCGCTGCCTTTCGCCGTCGATCCCATGTGGTACTGCTCTGTCACCCCCATTGTCAGATGGTCCAAAGAGATCTGGGCCAGCTTGGTTGGCTCTTTCGGTTTCGGACTTCCCATGTCTGTCATCAGGCAGATGTGGGACTTCCGTTTTGTTGGGCCCTGCGGGGGCCACCAGGCTGTCCGTCGAGCGCATCGGGATGGAAGATGACGGGCTTCAGCACACGCTAATCGATGACATTGGCGTGGAGGTGCCACTCACGTTCGTTTCTCCCTTTCTGCTCAAACGCCGCTTGTGGCCCGCGGTCGTTCAGAACCATGAGCGTTCCTGCGGGGAGCTCTTGGGTCTGGAGTGTCGTGTGTGTGTGCGGATGTGGCTCTAGGACAGATCAGCTCTAAGAAGTTCACCCCCTTTGAGAAGGGGGCCATCAGAGGACATGGTTACCAAGCACCCTGGACCAAGTGCCGCGCCCAGGAACTCGGGTATGGCCTTCCCCGACCTATTGTGCCCCGCGTGCGGCCTGGAGAATGACACCATGTTCCACCGCATCCCGCACTGCACGCCAGGGAGCTTCGTGGACGTGTGCTCGGAGATCTTAAGTTTCAGCCTGGAGAACGGCACGCAGTGTCTGAGGCGGACGCGGTGTTGTCTACCCTGGGCGTGTTCGCGCATCCTGGCGAGGTCTCTCCGCCTTCAAGTCGTGTGGAACCCGCCTGCAGGCCTCTGAACGAACCCGGGCGTGATGAGCATCGTGTGCCAGGCACGGAGTCATGGATGGGTCGCGCGCGTACGGCCGGCGACGCAGGAGTTGCCAACGGCGGCTTGGCGTGCCGTGCCGGC